TCTGCCTCCGTGGCCTAGCTAATTTCTACTCATCATTAACAATCAGCTCAATCATCATTCCCTGGCCTGGGAAATATTCCCTAACCCCTGCACTAAGAGATGCCTGTCTGGTTTTCCCAGAACACCTGGTGATTTTTTATACAACCCTTAGCACCATGTATTATGTTACTGTACTCAGAGTTGCACTGTACTCAGGCAAGGCACAAATCTGATTTGTCACTCTTTCCTAGGTCCAACACAGTGCTTAGTACTAGGTAAAGGCTCACAGATACTTGCTGAACTAAATGAGAGGAAGCATGAGATCTGAAAGGGGAAGATCTAGTACTCTGAGTTGAAGGGCCTGCTGATATGGTTGCTAGGAGGCAGCTCCTCTTCTAGGCAACAGCTGCAGGCTCCTCCCCAACTTGCCACACCCTTCTGCAGGTGGTAGAAGCAGAGCAAATGATGGGAGGATACTGCTATTGGTAGGACCAGGAAAAATACACAACTAGAAGCCAAAAAAACCAAAACCAAAAACAAAAAAAACATCCTGTAACAGTGCCAATGCTTACAACCCATATTCTTGCCAGCATTCAATGTCTGTTGTTACAGGCATGCCTTGCTCATTCTAAGTTCTTCTTCCATTAGGGGAAAGCATCTGGCTCCTCCAACCTTACCTACCTTAATCCTGATTAAAAGGTCTTTGTCCCTGTGGTTGGACACTCAGAACTCTAGATTACTTGAAGATTACAAAGTAGACATCAGTTGCTGGCTACAGTGACTCGTCTATAATCCCAGTAATTTGGGAGACTGGGAGGTTAATGGTCTACAGTCAGTTCAGGCAAATGTTAGTGAAAGTCCCATCTCAATCAATAAGCAGAATGTGGTGGTTCATCGTTGTCATCCTAGCTAACTAGTAAGGAATCTCTATTGGACAAAAACACTAGACTCTATTAAAAATAACTAAAGCACAAAGGACTAGGGCATGGCTCAAGTGGCGGGCCACCTGCATGATGACCACAAGACACTAAGTTCAAACTACAATACCATCAAAGAAAAAAGAAAAAAGGAAGAAGAAATCAGGTATGGCCCTCAAAAGAAATGATGGGATTTTAATATCAGAGGGGCAAATTTTATAGAAGATAGCATTAACAATGGATCAACATACTATTGTTTGAAAAACAAAGTCCACCTAGCTGCTTTGTTCCTAATCCTCAACCATATGAAGTTACCACAAATTTTGGAGTAAAATGGAAAAAGGGATAGACAGATGGATGATCACTTGTGAAGACAATTAAGTCTGATTCCATCCAGCAGAGGGCACAGGCAACTCAGGACCAGAATAAGGATGCTAATCCCTCTCCCAAATCCTGGCAGCTTCAGGTTCTAAGGATCTTATTTTAAAAAAAAAAGAAAAAGAAAAAAAAAGATTATAGCTATGACTATATTTTATCTTTAGACTACTCAACAAGTGCTACTCTCTTTGTAAATGATTCAAAGTCCAATAATTCCCAAAGAGTAAACTATCTGTCCATGCAATACTCCAAGGCCTCTCTTTATCCAGCTATGGTATTTGGGAACTGACCTTGATTCAGGGAATTCTGGTGACCTTTGATTTATAAAACTAAATTTGTAGATCCTGTATTCTGCCAGTAAGGCCCTTCTGGGAGATGATAAGGTACTATAAAATAATCTAATTATTAAATACGTTTAAACCTTTTTTTTTTAATTGTGCTGGTCCTGGGACTTGAACTCAGGGCCTAGTCACTGCCCCTGAGCTTTTGTACTTGATTAGCGCTCTACAGCTTGAGCCCAAGCTCCCCTCCTGGCTTTTTGTTGGTTAATTGGAGATAAGAATTGTACAGACTTTGCTACTTCTCCTGGCTTGGAACCTTAAGTCCTCAGATCTCAGTCTCTTGAGTTTCAAGTAATATAGGCATAAGCCGTTGACACCTGGCTCATGTTTGAATATTTTAAAGTTAAGAACTACAAAGAGGCCTGGCACTGGCGACTCATGCCTGTAATCCTAGTTACTCAAAAGAGTGAGATCTGAGGATCACAGTTCAAAGCCAGCCCAGGCAGGAAAGTCGTGAGACTGATCTCCAATAAACCACCAGAAAACTAGAAGTGGCACTGTGGCTCAAGTGGTAGAGTGCTAGCCTTGAGCTGAAGAGCTGAGGGACAGAGCCCAGGCCCAGAGTTCAAGCCCCACAAGGGGAAAAAAAAAAAAGAACTATGAGGAGGATTCTGCACAAAGTTTCTGTATTGGGCTTTACTTACACATGACTATTTTTCAAGAGACAGGGCCTGATTTATATCATGGCAAAAAAACCATACAAATTGGAAAATTAGAAATAGGTATTTATAAGAATAACAATGTTCAGTACTGATCTGTATTATATAGATTAGATATAAGACATATGAGTATAGATTATATATATATTATATATCTGTATTATATATTAGCTTAACAGAGTGAAAGGCATTCTAGTGGGTTTCCCAACCTATTCAGAGAAGCAGCTTTGTAACTCAAACATCATACAAATATGTTACAATAGTACATGTTCTAGTGTTTAGCCACTGTAAGTAGCTAAAGTTACCACAAAGCATATCATTTCTTCAAATAAATGAAATGTAACCTTAGTGCATTAAATATTCAGTTCTCCACGCCTTCTTTGAATAAGGGGCAAGATAAATGAATTGATAACTAAACACAACTTCTTCAGGCCTTGAAGCCAGTTTACCAAGAAAAAATTAGGGGACAGAAGGAGCAGGCAACAGCGAAAAATGCTAAAATTTTCAGCGGAGTCTACTGCTATCTAATTTTAAAAGAAAAAGAGGAAAACACCTAACTTTAGTAAAGTAAGTTAAAAATCCCCTAAGAACAACAGATTATAACAAGGATGTTAATGACACTGAGTATAATGGCAACCCCTTATTAAGTACCTCCAGCTGCCAAGCATAGTGCTATGTACTATATAAAATGACCTCATGTAATCACCAATCCTATGAGGTCAGTATTGTTCCTTAATAGAAGAAGCTCAGAGAAATGAAGTCACTTACTTAAAAAACAGAGCTATAGCTAGTTAAATGGCACAGCCTAAATTCAATCTCTAGGCTATATTATTCCAAAGCACACGCTCTTTCCACTGTATCCACTGTTTCTCAAGAATAAAAACATGACATCAACCTTTAGAATTAAGAAAACGTTAAAATTTAATCTCCCCACCTGTTTGATCCCTGATACTCAACTGGCTCAAGCTGGGAGGAGAGGGAGGACAAAGGGGAGATTAAAAAACAAAAACAACAAAAACAAAAACAGTGGGCTTCTGAGGAAAGAGTTGGTGGAACAAAGCCAGGGTAGAGTCACCATGAAGGCTCCCTTCTGCTAGGGCAGAAGTTAGCTACATCCACATTCCAGGAAAACATGTCAACTCATGATATTCGGGCCAAGACTGCAGACCACCTTTGGTTTATTTGAGAATACAGTATTTAGACATTCTCCAACAAAAAAACCTGAACAGAAACTCATTGGAACACGACTACCTAAAATCCATCTTCATTGTTCTGTCTTCGCCATCATTCAATTTTCAATTCTCCCCGACTTTCTTTTTCCTGTAATTGCACTCCCCCACCTGCCTTCTCACCCAAGCCCCAGAAGCTCACCCCAAGTCCAGCCTCCCAGACCCCCCCTCCCCGCTCCCAGACCACGCTAAGCTCTCTTACTGATATCTTGATACTCTCACCAACTCGACAGCTTCTCGCACAAAAATCCGGTCGTTCCACACGTCCAAATTCCCACCCCCCCCCCGCCTCCCAGACTTCGGACCTTCCCGATCTTTCGAGACCCCTCAGAAACGTGGCTCCCAGTCCCCCACACCCAACCCCACCCGCCTCCACCTGCCTCCCCTCTCCGCCACTCTACTCCCCCCCCCACGACCCTTTCTTGCCTTTCCCCCCACCCCGGGAGCTTCCCTCCGGCGAAGACCCGCATCTCTCCAGCCCACGCCTCGCCCGGCCTACTCAACCTTCGAAACCCGCTCCCTTCACGTCTACGCCATCCCCAACTTCACAACCACAGCCCCAACTTCTTTCTTCCCTGCCCCCCCCCCCGCGACCCTACCGCTTCCCCTATTCCAGGACTAGTTCCTTTCCTCCGTGCACCCCTCCAATCCCATTCCTTCTCCACTTCCTCAATACAGCAACCCTTCAGCCCACCCCCCTCGATCCCCAAGCAAGCCCCTCCGAGCCAACCCAGCTCCCCCTGGCCCCGAACCCCAGTTCCCACACGCCCACACAGCTGACCCCTGCACACCGAACCCACCCTCAAACCTGTCTCCCGCCCCCCTTCGTCCCCACCGCCCCCCCTCCCCTCTCCCTTGGGCCCCCACACCCCATCCCCGGAGGCCTGCTCCTCACCCACCCGCCCCTCCCTCAGCCCCACCCCCACCTCACACGCAGCCCGGGGCTCAGCGAGCGGCCCAGCCCGCGGCCGCCACCTACCTGTGCCCCAGCCCGGGGCAGCGAGCGGCGGCAGCACCTCGGCGGCGACTCCTTCCTCTCGCGGCGCAGCTGACGGGAGAAGCGGCTCGGCACCCGGGCACAAAGCTGGCGAGGGTGGGACACCGAGAGGGTCGCAGGAGGGAGGGGCTGGGGGCGACCTGGCGCCGTGGGACCCGCGGGACTGACGGGGCGGGGGAGCGGGGAAGGAGGGCTAGGACTGAGAGTCGCGCGTGCGCGGGTCCAGCATAAAGGGCGTGGCCGCTGATGTGGGCGGGGATTGGGTGGGAGAGGGCGGGGCTAGAGGGCGGGGCTACCAACTTGAGGGATGGAGCGGAACGGGAGGCCGCAGGGCTAGGCAATGCGCGTGCGTGCCCGCGCGAGGGCGGATCCTGGGCCCTGTGAGTCCCCAAGGCGTGGGCGGGGTCGCGCAGCTGGGCGGGGCGGGGCGGTGGGCGGCGGGGGTGGAGGGGAGCGTGGCTGGAGAACCTGGGGACCGCTGTGTGCGCGCCCGGGAACTCCTCAGGGACCTGAGCAAGGGGGCGGGGTCGCCGCGCGGCTGGGGGGCGGCGTGGACCCGGAGCTACCCGGAGGCCCAGGCGAGCGGGTCCGTGGGCGGGGTGGGCCGGCGCGCGCGGGCGGGTGGAGGGTTGCCGGTGGGAAGGGGGAGTGAGGGGAGGGACTGAGAGGTGACGCGCGGCCTGGGGGGGGGGGGGGGGGGGGGAGAGAACCGCGGGCCTCGCCGTGGGGCCTCCGGGTGCGGGCCGCCTCGAGAGGGCGGGGCCTGCCGCCTCCCCGGCTCCGCAGACCCTGGGGCTCCCCACCAGCTTTTTGAGCTTCAAATAGTGCTTCCCCGCGCCCCCCCCTCCGCCCCGGCTAGACGGTCGCCCGGGGGGCGTCTGCTGCGTAGTCCTGACCCAGAGAGTTAGAAATCGCGTTGGAGGTCGAAGCGGGGCCTTTAGAAGGCCGAGGAGGCGTCGCTGGCGCGGGACGTGGGAGCTGGGCCTCAGAGGAGGGCGAGGGGGGTCGAGCTGGCACCCTGCCCCTCCGCCTCCAGCTCCCGGCCGGGAGAGGCCGAGGACAGCCTTTTCTAATGTACCGCGCCGTCCCCGGTGGACGAGGGAGGATCGGGGCTGTGGTGTTTGCAGTTGGGATCGCCCGAGCCAAGGGCGGGATGGGGGGAGGGGGGGAGGGAAGCTGGGTTAGAAGAAAGGCTACCCAGGGCTTTACCCAGGGAGCTTTCCAGAAAGGCATGGGAACTGGAGATGAAGAACCAATGGCCCCAGTTAAGAAAAAGCATCAAAGTCCAAGTCAGCAATGGTAAAAAAAAATAAATACATTAGAAGGGTGGCGTCCCCGAGCACATCACTTTAGGTAAACTGAGGTTCTCAGGGAACATCTATTCAGAGCAAGGAGCCTTAGGACAGATGGGGATTAGACCTTGGAGAGAAATTGTTGTCTGCTGAGGTATTCTGTGGATTTCCTGAGAATTCATATGCCTCTTTCTCATTAATGGCAACAAAAGAACTCTGAAGACACAATCCAGCCTCTGCCCTTTCTTCCTTATTTAAAAGAAAACTGGTGGCTGTAAAAGGTATGAAATGTGTTACGTATTAAAGCACTTGTTTCCTTCTCTCAGACATCTTAGATAATTTTAAAATGAGATGAAATGGGCTTTTCATGTCTGTAAACCTAGCTAACTCAAGAGGCTGAGACCTGAAAGATCATGGTTTGAGGCCAGTTGAGTTAGAAAAATCCAAGAGACTCTATAATTAACCAGCAAAATACTAGACTAGAGATGTGATTCAGGTGGTGCCAGCCCTGAGCAAGAACACCAGACTCTTGAGTTCAAACTCTAGTTTGAAAAAAAGTAATAAAACCATGTATTTAAAGAGTACACTGTGCCACTATGCTGCTACACATAAATTCGACACACATTTCCCTAGAATGTGTTAATTTAATTCTTGCACACTTCTGCCCCGTGAGGAGTAGAATATTACTTTACAATAACTACCTGTCTTGAGATAATCCAGATAGCAAAAGTAGAATTTGAAGCCAGCCTGGGCATACAGATCCAAGAGATTTTTATCTTCAATTAACCAGCAAAAAGTTGGTGTGGCTCAAGTGATAGAGCCATAGCCTTGAGCTTTGGAAAAGAGCTAAAAGCCCCAGTTGAAGCCTTGATATTGGTACCTGAATTTTTGTGGGTAATACATATCTGTATGGTGGTATATCTAGCACCTTCTCCAGTTGTGACATTTAAGACTATACAGATATTACCAAATGTAGTCTTGGGAGCAAATTAGCCCCAGTCTGATTGAATGTAAGGCCCATTAGGTTTTTATTTTTATTTTTTTCCCCTCCCCCTTTCTCTCCTCTCTCCTTCTCTCCCCCTCCCTCTTCCTCCCTCTTCCTCTCTCTTCCTCTCTCTCTCTGAAAAACTAGTCTTGTTATATTGCCCAGGCTATGAGGATCCTTCTGACTCAGCCTCCCAGGTAGTTAGGATAACAGGTACATTTGCTCCCCTCACCCCTAGCTTTAACCGGGCTTATAATACCCTGAAGTGTCTATCTGTTCCTAATCTACCTTTCTTAGAATTTGACTCAGCCTAAAATAATCTCCAGTACAGGAATTCTTTCTTTGGCTTTCTTTGTTGGATGCTGGAATTTTTAGGGGAGGAGAAGATTAAAACTCTCCTTTGCTTCTAGCTCTTTTCTGATGTTTTCATGGTTTAAAATTTGTATTTGTTAAGTCCATTTGACTCTCTTGGAGCTGTGGAAAGGAAAATTCTAATCTTTTTTCCACGTATAAGCACAAGTGATATTGTTAGTAGTCATTTTTTCTCTCTCCTACCAAATTTTTTCTTGAAAGGATTCAAACCTTTTTCTCTGTTTTTTTCCACATGAACTCCCCATCCCCCATTGAACATGAGGCCTTAGGCATACTGAGCAGGTGTTCAACCACTGAGCTACATCTCCAGCTCCCATCATGAAATTTTGCACTCTCCTGAACACTATTAAGCTGACAGTGTCCTACTTAAAACATACCAGAACACAGTATTCTGGATGTGGGTCACAGTATTTGCACACCATGTGTTGTATTAAATGAATGTTCATCATCCTTTATTCAGTTTAAAGACAACCAATTCTCAGTCACTGGTTGTAATTATTTTTGAATTACAAATATAGTGCCTGACCCTTAGTTCAAAGGGTCTTAGTGTTAAAAAATTTGAGGGAATGTTGCTCCTTAACTGCATGTGCGCACACACGTATGTATGTATGCTGCTAGGCATGGACTTTACCACTATATACCCTCAGCCCAACTCTTACTGTAATCTAAAATAAAATTCTTTACCTTTAAGGGCTGGTATGGTACATTTGCACTGTTGTTGTCTTACTTTGACTTTGTCAGTAACCAAACCAATAAGTTCAGATGAATATTAAAGTCAGCAGTTTGTTTGTTTTTGATTGGGATAGCATCAAAGCAGCCCTAGACAATGAATGAACAAATGAGCATGGTCGTGTTTCAATAAAACTTTATTCATGATCATACAAAAACAGGTGGCAGTTTAAATTTGACTTGCAGGCAATAGACAACTGCTGATCTAAGCCAATCCAAGTATGATAGTTTTTTAGTCAGTATAGACTTTAATTATCTTTATATCTTATTAATTGCAACCCATCTTTTTAGCTTGCTCATATCTTTTTCTCCTGGGACTTCAGTTATTTGTATCTCAGACTAGTATCATATTATTTCACAGTATCTGATGCTCTGCTCCCTTTTCCCTCTACTTCTGGTGTTAAGAATCCAAGCCAGGGCCTCTCAGGCACTACACAAGTACGCTACCACTGAAATGCGCCCCAACCCTTGACCCTTTTTTTTTTTGTCAGTGGTGGGGCCTGAACTCAAGGCCTGGGTGCTGTCCCTCAGCTCTTTAGCTCAAGGCTAGTGCTCTACCACTTGAACCACAATACCACTTCCAGCTTTTTCTGCATATGCAGTGCTGAGGAGCCACCTTCCCAGCCCTTGACCCATTTCCCAGCCCTTGACCCATTTTTTAAGTTCACTGATCCTTCCTTATGCTAGGTGTTATATCTGGTGTTAAGCCAACCTACTGATTTTTTTTCAAGTTTTAGGTAAGGTACTTTATGTTTTAGTTCTAGGATTTCCGTTGTGTTCAAGTTTTCCTTTCTTTACTATAAAAGTTTTTTTTGGTCACCCATTTAGTCCACCTTTTCTGTAAATTCTCTAACAGATTTATGGAAGTTATCTTTATAAATCTGCTAATATAGGTTTGCACCTGGATAATTCCAATACCTGGGTCATCTATAGACATACTTCTATGACTTAGTTGAATATTGCATTTAAAGGAGCAGTAGAGCTGGGCACCCATGGCTCAGGCCTGTAATTCTAGCTACTCCGGAGGCTGAGATCTGAGAATTGCGGTTCAAAGCCAGCCTGGGCAGGAAAGCCCATGAGACTCTAATCTCCAATTAACCACCAAAAAACTGGAAGTGGTGCTGTGGCTCAAGTGGTAGAGTACTAGCCTCCAGCTGAAGAGCTGAGGACAGTCTCCAGGCCCAGAGTTCAAGCCCCACAACTGACCAAAAAAAAAGAGCATTAGAATAGCTGAAAATATAGCTCAAACAGTAGAGTGCCTATCTACCAAATTTGAGGTCCTGAGTTAAAAAATCTACACATCCATGCAAAAGTAAAGAAACTAGAATAGATCATTTTTACCCCGAGGAGAACATATCCTTTATCTGCTGCCTAGGATGAGGGGCAAATCAGTTCCTAACTAGAAATTATGCTAATATTAGCCATGTTGTAGTTTTAAATAGTTTCTCTCTGGTTTCAGATAACTAAAAAGTGTAATCAGTTGGGTACTTCTTCCTCTGCCCCCCAAATATTTCTTTATTGAGATTAAGTGACTACATATGTTTCATAATACTGTGGCATAGTTATACTTAGCTAAAGTCACAAACACCTTTTAATCTTCACAGTGATCATCATCATCTTAATCTACAGAGTTTATGAACTCTACAAACTTTAACAAAAGACTATTTCTTCCAAAATCGGGTGAAATGTACATTTCTTTCCTTTTGCTTAATGTAAGCTGTTCCCTCTTTCTCATTCCTCCCTCCTATATCACTGCCCTTGAGTTGCTTAGTTCACTTTTATCAATGTAATTGGGTACAAACATCTTTTTCTTTTTGCCAGTCCTTATGCTTACACTTGGGGCCTGGGCACTGTCTCTGAGTCTCTTTGTGCTCGAAGCTAGTGCTCTACCACTTGAACCACCATACCACTTCCACCTTATATTGAGTAGTTTATTGAAGATAAGAGACTCATGGACTTCCCTGCCTGGGCTGGCTTCAATCACCGGGATATTGAACTGTCAGCCTCCTGAGTAGCTAGGATTCCTCCTCCTCCCCCTCCCCCTCCCCCTCCTCCTCTTCCTCCTTCCTCTCCTCCTCCCCTTCCTCCCCCCTCCCTCTCCCCGCTCCCTCTCCCACCCCCTCCCTCTCCCTTTCTGATTCCAAAGCTGCTGCTGGGGACCAGCTCTTACCACAATAGATGTGATAAAAGTTTAGCAGGGGCTGGGAAGGTGGCTCAGTGGTAGAGTGCTTGCCTTGCATGCATGAGGCCCTGGGTTCAATTACTTATCACCATATAAGCAAAAAGAAAAAAAGCTAGAAGTGGCACTGTGGTTCAAGTGGTAGAGCGCTAGCCTTGAGCTGAAGAGCTGAGGGACAGCACCCAGGCCCAGCATTCAGGCCCCACGACCGGACCCAAAGAAAAAAAATTTTTTTTGTGAAAATTTATCGAGCTTTTTTGTATCCTTTTCTGTTTGTATGTTATAATTCAATAACAAAAGAAAGGTAGAAAACTCCTGCACAAAAACAAAAACCAACCCATAAACCTAGCCAGAATTAGAAGGCTGAGCTAGGAGAATTACAAGTTTGAGGCCACTCTGTTTATAACCCATAAAGTTAAAAAAGCCACAAACGGGGATAAATAGTTTCAATACAAATAGCAAATGATTTGTGTTTAGAATATTTTGTTTCTAAAGTTCCTACAAATCAAAAAGGAAAGGAATCAGATGCAGGTCGTTTGCCTATAACCCTAGCTCCTCAGGAGGTTGAGGTCTAAGAACTGTGGTTCAAAGCCAGACCAGGCAGACAAACCTGTGAGACTCCTACGTCCAAATAACCAGCAAAAAGCCTGAAGTGGGGGTATGGCTCAAGTGATAAAGCACCATCCATGAACATAAAAAGCTCATTGAAAGCAAGAGACACTGAGTTTAAGCCTCAGTAGTACTGGCAGAACAATAACAAGCCCAAAAGTAATAATAAAAAGGCAATTCAATTAAAAAAAAAAAAAGAATACACAAAGGGTAAGAAAAAGCAAATAGCAGAGTGCCAGTGGTTCACACCTAGTTACTCAGGAATCTGAGATCTGAGGATTTCAGTTCAACATCAGCCTGGGCAAGAAAATCTGTGAGACTCTTCAGTTAACCACCAAAAAACTGGAAGTCCAGCTGTTGCTCAAGTGGTAGAGTGATAGCCTTGAACAAAAAAACTCAGGCTCTCAGTTCAAGCCAAAGGAAGGAAGGGAGAGAGGAAAAATACCAAGAGGAGAAAGAAGGAAGGGAAAGAGAAAAAGGAAAAAGAAACAATAGAAGCCCAAATGGTCTGTAAACATAAAATGGTAATTCAGCTTCACATCAACAAGATAGTTACCAGAAAGTCAGCTCATTTAACCTTAATCCTTGTGGCTGGCATGAAGAAGTCTAGTAAGATACAAAAGGATTGAAAGTGACAGGAAAATTTACTAGTAAAGAAGTAAGGTGAAAAAAGGATATCAAACAGCATAGACATGCCATGGGAAGATGGCACTTTAGTTAATCTTTGGCTATTTTCAGGGTATATACATTAGATGAATAATTGGAGGCAAGGCACAGGTATGCATAGTTTCAGAGTCTGGGATACAGGTGTACCTGGTTCTAGTTCTCCCAGGTTCTGGAGAAATGTTATCATTGTCATCACTTAAGGGCAGAATCTGGTTACTAGGAGATGATTTCTCCCATTCCAGGGTGCAGCCTGATTATTATAGGTAATTGTTTCATTTGGGAGTGACTTATCCTGCAAGACTATGCTGTAGTTTTAGTCTTAGTCTAAAGATATGGGTCAGTTCTGTCTTTCCTGGAACCCAGAGTGATTTATAAAATGACTATGGAGAGAATGGCTTAGGACAATGACAAACATAAAATAAAAGCAGAGATGTTAGGCTTTTCTCCTGCTTTTAGTTACTTGATAACAGCAAAACCAGTTTAAGAACCTGTTATAGCAGGTGCTGGTGGCTCATGCCTGTAATCCTACCTACTCAGGAGGTTGAGATCTGACGTTCGTAGTTCAAAGCCAGCCTAGGCAGAAAGGCTGTGAAACCCTTATCTCCAATAAACCACCACAAAATCAGAAGTGGTGTTGTGGCTCAAGTGGTAGAGCACTAGCCTTGAGCTGAAGAACTCAAGGTCAGTGCCCAGGCCCAGAGTTCAAGCCCCATGACTGACAACCCAAAAAACCAAAAACCTGTTACAAATACACTTTCAACAGGTTGAGAATGGGTCGTCTCTAGGGTGAAAATAACATTAGCCTTTGGGGTTTGAGGGCTACTTGAGATTGCCTGTGAGAAAGTTCTTAGGTCCAGTTTACAGGGCTGAGGTTACGTGTGAAACAGGAAATTTAATTACAATATTTTTTTCTGATACCTTGTGATCTTATCCTCATTTTAAGTTCCCTTTGCAGTTCCTCATTGCTCTTTACTAGCTGCTACTCATTTATACCAAATTAGTGAAGATATGAGGAAGCAGAAAGTCTCATACATTGTGACTAGTAATTAATTTGTTATTATTTAGAGACCATATTAATTAATGACAAAGTATATAGTCCAACTTTCTGCAGTTTTCCTTCTAATATGCAAAGATACTTTTTTCTTTTTGGTAGTACTGGCAATTGACTCAGTTCATTAGCTCTAGTACTTGAACCACACACTTCCAGTCTGAGATTCTTTTATTATAAAGACCTGTTTGTCTTACTCCCTGGACACCATCGAGGGTTCAACACGAAGGCTGAACGGTACCATTTAGAAGAATGGAGAGTGATGCATCTGTCCTCATGTTTTCAAAAGCCCTGAAAAACCAGTTGCTTCAGACGACCAAGCTGGTAGAAGAAATTAAGAAACTGCACCTGGTGGATGAAGATGAATTGGAGCACAACAAAGAAAAGAGACTTGAGGCACTAAGGAAAGTTCAGCAGCAGAAACAGGAATGGCTTTCTAAAGGACATGGTGAATGCAGAGAAATACCTAGTGAGAAAGACTCTTTTCCAATAAGTCAAAGAGAGTAAAAAGTAGTTTGCCATTTCTATAAAGTATAGTACCCTACATTCAGGTACAAAATCCTAGACAGACATTTGGTGATACTAAGAAACATCTTGAGACCAAAGTTTTGAAGCTGAATGTCGAAAAAGCACCTTTTCTTTGTGAGAGACTACATACTAAACTCATTCTCACACTAGCACTGGTAAAAGAGGGGAAAACACAAGATTATGTTTTTGGATTTACCAACCTAGAAATACAGATGATGATTTCACCACAGAAACTTTAGAACGGAGGCTCAGCTGTTCTGATATTCTTAATTACAGTGGAAATTTAATGGGGCCACCATTCAGAGCTAAAAACTGAGGACAGGGCTGGGAATGTGGCTGAGTGGTAGAGTGCTTGCCTAGCGTGTATTAAGTCTTGGATTCAGTTCCTCAATGCCACATCAACAGAAAAAGCCAGAAGTGGTGCTATGGCTCAAATGGTTGAGTTCTAGCCTTAAGCAAAAGAATCTCAGGGACAGTGCCCAGGTCCTGAGTTCATGCCCAGGATTGGCAAAAAAAAAAAAAGGAAAAGAAAAAGAAATTTGGGACAAACTTCACAAAGCTGGAAAAGAAAGCTATCTGAGAAAAGAAATATGATTCAAACTGATAATGACTAGAGATAAGTTACAGATTTTCTGTTTATTTCTGTTTACATGTAAATGTGTTTTAATAAATCCTATTAATTTCAATACACTGGAAAATAAAGACCTGTGTGCACATGTGCTTGAAGATGTCATTATAAACCTGTTTATGATAGCAAAGAATTGAGAACAAACCTAAATATCCTTTACTAGGGAAATGGAGAAATGCTATACAGCAGTTAAAGTGAATAAATAAATATATAGAATAAATATATAAATAAATAACATTTATATATAATATATAAATAAGTATATAGAATACATAAACTGTCTTGAAAACAGTAGTACATGAAAAAAAAATAACAAAAGGATATATATACACTCTGAAACTACCTGAATCTCCTCCCCCAACTTTCTATTAGACATTGAATTCAGGGTTTCATACATGCTAAGCAAGCACCTGTGGGGTTGGGTTTTTTTTGCAGTTATTTATTTATTTGAGACAGAGTCTCCCTAAGTGGCACAGGCTAGCCTCAAATTTATGATCTTGCCTCCCTCTCCTGAGTATTATAGGCATGTACCACCATGTCCAGCCTAAGTACAATAGTACATATGGGGTAAAAATAAAAATGACTACTCAGAACATTCATCATCTTCAAAAAACTTGCCTCTGAGCCAGAAATGTATAAGATCAACGTAGAGCTCCTTATTTCTCTCTTAAATAAAATGTCTGAAGTTAAAAATATCAGACTGTTAACATTATTAAGTCTAGACAGTAGAGACATAATTGTTGAACATCTGTAATATTCTCTACTTTTTTGTTTATATTTGACATCGTCTCATTAAACTGGGATCAAGTTATGAAGGGTATCCTGTGCCATAGGAGGCCTTCCTCTTTCTAAATACTTTTTTTTTTTTGGCAGTTCTGGGGGCTTGAACTCGGGGTAGAACATTGTCCCTGAGCTTCGCTGGCTCAAGGCTAGCACTTGAGCCACAGCACCACTTCCGGCTTTTTCTGTGTATATGGTACTAAGGAATTGAACCCAGGGCTTCATGCCTGCTAGGCAAGCACTGTCACTAAGCCACATTCCCAGCCCAGCACTCTGTTTTTTAATGAAGTTTCCTGATTACTTTGTATCTTCACCATCAGATCAAGTAAGTGAGTATAGATAAGAACTAAATTTTCTTTGTTTTACCCTCTAGGCCCTATAGTCAAACTCAATATTTTTTCAGATTCATTTTTATTGACATATACAACAGAAAGGTAAGTCACTGGCCTAAGTAATTAAAGACTTAGAGTTTTAAAACTAAGTTAAAAACTAGTAAAAATTGTCTCTAGTTTCAAATTTCTACTGGAAGATAATGAATGATAGTCAAGTATGGTAGTGCACAACTGTAGTCCCAGCTACTAGAAAGGAAAATCACTTGAGCCCACTAATTCCTGAGACCAGCCTAGGCAATATTCTAAAATAAAAAATGAGGTTTTTTTAAAAAAGGAAATTATATTGTTTGATAATTTAATTGGATAAGCAGTAACAAAATACACATTACTTTTAATTTTTTAAAAATGTAACTATAAAGCCAGGTGCCAGAGGCTCATATCTATAATCCTAGCTACTCAAGGGGCCGAGATCTGAGGATCACAGTTCAAAGCCAGCCCGGGCAGGAAAGTCAGTGGGACTCTTACTAACCACAAGAAAACCAGAAGGAGAGCTATGAACTTTGAGCCATAGTTCAAAGAAAAAAAGCTCAGGGACAGCACTCAGGTCCTGAGTTCACATGACCGAACAAAAAGAAGTAACTATAAACAATTTTAAAAATTTGACCCACTAATTTTTGTTAACTATTGCAACTTGATTATAATATCCTTTAATTTTAAAAGTTGAAAAATGGTGTTATTTCAGGTGTCCAAATAATTATTTTGTGTAGCAGAGAAGGGGAAATAGTTACATTTCACAGATTATCCCTGGGAGAAGTCAGAAGTTTATTTTTCTTAAAAAAAAAAAGTCTCTCCCAGTTGTTGAATAGCTTAGTTGTTAAACCTGTTACTAGGCAACAGGCTTTCCTTTTAAAGTTTAGAGAAATCCAGAGTTGGCTTTTTGTTTGTTAATGTTTTGTTACTTTTTATTTGCAGGCTAAACACAAAAATGAGAAAAGTTGATCTCTGCTTGAACTCTGAAGGGTCTGAAGTGATTTTAGCTACATCCAGCGATGACAAACACCCACCTGAAAACATAATTGATGGGTAAGAGTTACTACATTGTCATACTTCAAGTCAGGGAACTCCTGAACTACTGGGACTATGTGGTTTTTCCAATGATAGTGTTAAGCTTAGTTTAGTATTTGATGAACTTGATGACCTGATATTATATGCTTTTAATATCCTTTCCAAAATGAATTCAGTTGTGAATATTTAAGTTTTAGATCCTTTTCTCTCTAACAACTTCTGTTGTTGTTGTTGTTGGTTGTGGGGCTTGAACTTGGCCTGGGCACTGTCCCTCAGCTCTTCAGCTCAAGGCTTGCGATCTACCACTTGAGCCATAGTGCCACTTCCGGTTTTTCTGATGATTTATTGGAGATTAAAGTCTCATGGACTTTCCAGCCAAGGCTGGCTTTGAACCATAATCCTCAAATCTCAGCCTCCTGAGTAGCTAGGATTATAGGCATGAGCCACCAGTGCCCGGCTTTTCTGTAACTTCTTAGCTGATCTCTTTAACAATTAGGTTTAAAGTTTTCATTGTTTTTGTTACTTACTATTGCTTCTACAGTGCTGGGATTCCAATCCAAGACTGTGCATATGATAGACAACTGTTCTTCTACTGAGCTACATCTTGCCAGCAAATACAAATTTTTTTTGCTCCTAAATATAATTTTATTATTGTTTTTAAGATGTTGTACAGAGGGGTTACCATTTCATAAGTCAGGTAATGAGTACAATTCCTTTTGGACAATGTCACCCCTTCCTTCACTTTCCCTTAGCTTTCCCCTCCAGTTCCTGCCCCAAAGTTGCATAGTTCATTTTCCACATAGTATATACCGAATACTATGACTGCATTTGTTCACTCTCCCTCTACTTTTTTTTTGTTTGTTTCCTGGGTTTTGGGGGGATTTTTTTGTTGTTATTGTTTTTGGTTCTAGATGTTTTGAATAATGGAACCTATGTCCTTGCATAGGATAGGCAAGCAGTATACTGCTGAGCTCCTTTCCCAACCCTCATAGCATAGCCAAGGCTAGTCTTGAACTCAGAATGCTGCTTCCTCAATCTCCCAAGTGCTAAGATTAGAAGCATGGCCACCATGCCTGGCTTTCCAGTATTGTTTTTTTTTTCTGTTCTAGACCTTTTTGTTATTAATATTCTATAGATAGGGTAGGGTCTCAAGTATTTTGTCTGGCCAAACTGAGACCAGAATCATCTATCTTTGCCTCTACATAGTTGGGATTTAAAAGCTTGTGCTGCCTCAGGGCTTCCTTATTATTTATTTATTTATTTTTGCCCAAGCTGACCTCAAATGATTCTCCATTTTCTGACTGCAGAGTAGCTATGATTACAGGCCTTTGCCACTACACCTGGCCTCACAATAGTGGGGTTTTTTAAATTTTTTTTTTCTTTTTGCTTATGCGGTGCTGAGGAATCGAACCCAGGGCCTCAGCCATGCAAGGCAATCACTCTACCACTGACCTACCTTCCCAGCCCAATCTTTTTTTTTTTTTTTTAACAGTAGTCTAATGAATCAGAAACCAAACAACAGCTTCATTTTATGGACGTGTAAACTTTAACCTATGGCTTAGTTTTATTCCAGATTATTCTTGGAAATAGGGATATAAACAATGTAACTTCCTATCTGCCTATTTCATTGCTGGTCTAAGCAACTTCTTTGCTAAACTTAACGTTTCAGTTTCCAATATCCTCCTGCATTGTTTACTTCTTGGCTTATCTCCTTACAATTTCTATTCTTCACCACCCTCAAGCTCATTCTATGTAGAGATAAATATTATTCTCAGACTTTCAATTCCAAGAAAAGGTAGCTAATGTGAGAACTCCTTTTTTTTTTTTTAACAGAACTGGCCTATCTTTTTCTTTCTTGGTATTCATGTATATGACCAGAGTTGGAATCATATAGTCACATAATTTTAGAGCTAAAAGAACTTACAAGTTCATCTTGCAACTTGTGGTTAGAGAGGTCTAAATATGTTAAATACTATTTAATTATTGAAAGCAGAGTCAGTTGTAAGGTAAGATTTTTGTGATTCTTAGGTTCTGTTGTAAAGCCTGTGAACCAGGACCAAATTCTAACAATTTGACTTTTTCTTTCAAGGTTAGACGTTATCTCTTTTCTAACATCTGCCCCTTCTGCTTGAGGTGGGATTAGTTTATCTCTTTTCTAGGTCCCAACAGTATTTAGTATAAATCCCCATTGTTTTATTTACTTTTTTATTATGGAGTTGTTTATTTTTTTTATTTTTGGGTCCGGTTGTGGGGCCATAAACTCTGGGCCTGGGCGCTGTCCCTCAGCTCTTCAGCTCAAGGCTAGCGCTCTACCACTTGAGCCACAGTGCCACTTCTGGCTTTTTCCTTTTTGCTTATGTGGTGCTGAGGAATCGAACCCAGGGCCTCAGGCATGCAAGGGAAGCACTCTACCACTGAGCCACCTTCCTAGCCCAGAGTTGTTTATTTTTATTTGTCTCTTCTCTCATTGAGAATTCCTAGGAATCAAAAGTATGTCTTATTCTTTGACTACACAGAGTCTTAAACTGTTTGTTAACTGGTTTATTAAATTAAGACATCAAATATTAGTTAACCCTGGCTAATACTGAAGATATCAGTGTATATTTATACAAAGACACAAATATATATATATATATGTATATACATGAGTATGCATGTATTACTATATATTTTCATGGGGCCCTATAAGTTCATAACTACCATGTCATTTGGGAAACAAACACCAAAAGAACAAATAAATACCAAAATGTATTTTTAAGATGAGGAGCTAGGTATAATGGCACATATCTGTACTCCTGGCACTTGGAGTGGCAAAGGCAGGAAGATTGGGACTTCAAGGACAGCCTGTGACATACAACAAGTTATAGGCCAGCCTGGACTGTATAGTGAAAACTTGTCTCAACAAAACAAAAAAAACAAAGCTGGGTGTCCAGGTTGCTCATGCCTGTAATCATAGCTACTCAGGAGGCTGAGCTCTGAGGATAATGGTTCAAAGCACAGCCTGGGCAGGAAAGTCTGTGAAACTCTTATCTCCAGTAAACCACTCAGAAAACTGGAAGTGTCACTGTGGCTAGAGTGCTAGCTGAAGAGCTTAGGGACAGAGCCCAGGCCCAGAGTTCAAGTCCCATGACTGACAAAAAAAACAAAAAAAGAAATGGAGCTGGGGGCATCAGTAGCGCATGCCTGCAATCCTCTCTGTAGGATGAGAGCTGAGGATTGATGTTTAAAGCTAATGTGGATAGAAAAGCCCAGAGACTCAATCTCTAAAATAACCAGAATAAAACTAAGCTGGAGGCATAACTCAATTGGTAGAGTGCAAGCTGAGCAAGCAAGCCAAACAAGCATGAGGAGGCCCTAAGTTCAAACTCTTGTATATAAAAAAAGGATAACCAAAGGTAAAATGACTTGCTGTAAATCACACAGATAAGCAAATGATACAACCAGTGCTCATGTCTTCTAATCCTAATTCAGAGTTCTTTATCCTCTGCTATACTAATCCTACTTGAGGTTTGAATTAAAAGAATATCTGCTTTTGCTTGTATCTCTTTATTCTTTTTTGTTTCTTTTTCCTATAAGTCAAGTAATAGTTATCTATCCCTCTCTGACTTGGTACTGTAGGAGCAGCTATGAGAATGCAGATATACTATAGAGATGTTCCTTAAGTTTTCATTAGGAAAAGAATCTTTCCAAAAACAACCCTGTCTAGTTGGAGGAAAATCATTTTCTAAGGCAACATCAATTAATTTGTTTCCTTGTGGTGATTTACCACTCAAGGAAATATGTTTATAGATCATTGGAGTTTGTCATATGTAGTAGATAATATTTGAGGTTTTATTGGTCCATTATTTTATTTAATAAAGGTTTTATTTAATGAATAAGGACATAACATTTTTTAGTTTAGACAAAAACTCATTGTACAGAAAACCATATAGAATAAAGGTAGTTACTTTCCTGAAAATTAAATGAAATATACTGAATGGATGAAAATATTATAGACTTTATATAGCAAATATTGAAAATTATTTTCTGCTCACAATTTGGTTTATCTAAATCTAAGTAACTATCAGGTTATTTGGAGAAAGCCATGCTATAAATTTACTCCCAATGGGGCTGGGAAGGTGGCTTAGTGGTAGAGTGCTTGCCTTGCATGCCTGAGGCCCTGGGTTCGATTCCTCAGCATCACATAAGCAGAAAAAGCCAGAAGTGGCGCTGTGGCTCAAGTGGTAGGGTGCTAGCCCTGAACAGAAGAGCTGAGCGACAGTGTCTAGGCCCAGAGTTCAAGCCCCATGACCGACAAAAAAAAAAAATTACTCCCAATGAACAGTGAAATTTTAAAGCGCTGTTGCAAACTTTTAATTTCCTCAGAAATAAGAGCTTACAAAATGATATTTTTTTACTCTTGACCTCTGTATTTAACATACCAGTGAAAAAGAGGAAAAGAGATTCTACTCTAGGAAAAAAAAAAAGAGTCAAGAGAAAAAGTAAGAGTATGGCATGGTAGTGTATGCCTGTAATCCCCAACTACTTGAAAGGCTAAAACTGGAGGATTATAAATTCAAGGCAGCCTAGGAAGTTTAGCAAGACGTGTCTCAAAATAAAACTAAGGAAAAATAGGCTGAGGATCTAGGGGTACAATTCAGTAGCAGAGTCCTTGCTAGTATATGCAAGTTCAATTTCCATCATAAGGAAGGAAAAGAAAAGACAACGCTGGATGCTGGTGACTCGCACCTGTAATCCTAACTACTCAGGAGGAAGAGAACTGAGAATCAGAGTTCAAAGCCAGCAGGGGAAGGAAAGTCCAGTTAATCACAGAAAAAGCCAGAAGTATCTCCATGGCTCAAGTGGTAGAGTGCTAACCTTGAGCAAAAAGGAGCTCAGAGACAGTGTCCAAGCCCGGTGTTTGAGTCCCAGAAGTAGCGAAAAAGAAAAGAGAATATGAAAACAACTCTATTGTATACCATATAGATTGTGTGTATATGTGTGTTTGTACTGTACACATACTCTATTGTATAGTAAATATACTATATGTCTCATATATCTATGTGTACATACAAATATATATATATATACATACTATATATAATTGACATACAATTGACTGCATGTTTTATTTTTTCCAGAAAACATTCATATAGTATAGGTCACTACTATAATAGTTAATAGGGACAGAAAGATAAGAAAGATCTCTTGAGTGCTCAGCATCCTGCAAGCAACCATAAGAACCCAGGGATTGCTGGGAATGTGGCTTAGTGGTAGAGTGCTTGCCTAGCATGCATGAAGCCCTGGGTTTGATTCCTTAGTACCATATAAGCGGAAAAAAACAGAAGTGGCACTATGGCTCAAATGGTAGAGTGCTAGCCTTGAGCAAAAGCAGCTCAGGGACAGTGCCCAGGCCCTGAGTTCAAGCCCCAGGACTGGTTAAAAAAAAACAAACAAAAAACAGGGATCAGTGTATGGGTGAATACTGAGTGTGAGACTAGTGCAAAGGAGAGAGGAGGTGGTTCTAATTCCTGGTAGAGAGATAGGACCAAACAGTGAGTAAACTTTTATAAGGTTCAGGAGAATGTCATTACCTAAGGTAGAGAAGTGTAAGACTGCATGATGTGTTGGCAGAATTTTGAGTGGTCCCCTGTGACTACAGTGATGGGAATCAGTATACTTTAATGATGAAACCAGAGTACAGCCCTCAGGGCCTTACTGAGGAGTGTGGGTTTATAGGCAGTAAGGGGCCATTGAAGGCTTTTAGAGATGAGTGACATCGATTCAGTTCCTGTGTTTTAGAAGAGACTATCTGGTAGTAGTTTAAAAAAATAGTACTAACAATATTAAAGTTGGAAAGAAATAGCAGAATTGACAAAAAGGGATTGCATAATCACTTTCTAATACTCATTTGAATTTTGTGACTAAACTTTTATACTTGATTGTTCCTTTTTCTTTTTTATTATAATTAATGATAGGAATCCAGAAACATTTTGGACCACCACAGGAATGTTTCCCCAGGAATTCATTATTTGTTTTCACAAACATGTAAAGATTGAAAAGCTTATAATTCAAAGTTACTTAGGTAAGCAAACCATACATTGATTTTTTTTTTTTTTTACTATTCTGTAATGAACCCATAGGCAGAGGACACATATGTAAACTTTTGGCACAACATTAAGTTTTCTTTATAGCTTGGAATCCAGTTTTACTGCTGGAATGGGAGGGTGGGGCTTATGGGTTAACTGCCTCCAGCACAATTAGCCTCTCTGAAACTCAAAGTTGAAACCCTTCCAAGACACATAATAATTTCCATGCAATTTATTACATGGAAGTGTTTAGCAAAATATCCCATTATGAGCATAAGAAACTGACTTACCAGAACACAAGGTTCCTGACATCTTTACTCTAGATTCATTTGGCCTGGCGTTCTCTCTCAAATTATTGCTGAAAATCTGATAACAGTGATTAATCACGTTGGATAACTTTGATTCTTCGTCTTATGACATTTTTCTAGAGATTAGGAGTAGAATCTCCCACTGGAACATTATTCCAATTCTGTCTGTGTTTGTTTGTTTGTATGCTTTTCTTTGAGAGGGGCTTGCTAGGCAACTCAGTCTGGCCTTGAACTTGCCATCCTCTTGTCTGTCTTCCTGAATGCTGAGATTACAGGCATGCACAACCATGCCTGACTCCTCTACTTATTTTAGGATATTGTATGAAAAAACATTAATGGTAGGTAACAGTATATTGCAGATGGTAACAGGCTTTATTGATGGCTCTTACAAAATTATAGTCTAGGCTATGGGAGCAAACAAGGGATAATGAGGTTTGCTACAGCCATAAGCCATCATTGCCCTGAGAAAAGGAAAGGAAATAGTGTTTTTGGAGCCAATACAAAAAGGCTGCTCTGCTGGAGCTGTGGTGGTGAAAGAGTAACCAATAGGAAAGACATGGCATAGAAACAGAGAAGGGTGGCGTAAAATAGCCTCTGCTCACTTATCACTGCCTCCAGCGTCCTCCTTGGGTTTCCCACTGGCCAGTGGGAAAGTAAGCCCAGGACATGTGCTCACCAAGAATCTGCTCCTTGGGCGCTAAGATGGCAGAGAAGAGGAGGAAAAGATTGAAGAAATGGGCCTGGGAGGAAACAGTGGAGAAGAAACTAGTGTAAAAGGAGATGATTGGAGGCTGGTGTCCTGTCATTAATCACAGACACTCTGGAGTCAGTGTGAATTCCAGTTCTGATACTTCCTTTCCTTGCCTCTTTGGACACCCTTCCTGGCTTCTGTAAGCCTGTGTCCTCAGCAGTAAAATAAATATGGTTAAAAGTGAATGAATAACTATACCTGACTCATAGCAGGTTCTCCATAAAGATTTATGACCAAGACCACCAATAGCATTATAATTACCAGTATGTAAAACTTTCTGGATAACTAAGTTAAAAATCACACTACTGGGCCAGGCATGGTGGTACATTCCAATAATCTCAGCGACTTGGAAGGTGGAGATCAGGAGGATTGTAGTTCAGGCCAAATGGGCAAAAAGTTAGACCCATCTCAGTAAATTATATGAGTGTGGTGGAATGTGTCTATAATCCCAGCTATGCTGAAGCATAGGAGGATTGCAGTCTGATGTAGGTCTCAGGCAAAAACAAGTGTATATACAAAAAAATGACTTAAAAGGTTGGGGCATGACTCAATTGAGCCTAACAAATATAATGCCCTGAGTTCAAACCCTAGTACCATGCATACACACACACACACACACACACACACACACACACACAACCCTAGTACCATGCATATACACACACACACACGCGCGCACGCACGCACATGCACGCACACGCACGCACGCACGCATGCACGCACGCACTGAACAAAACAAAAAGCCACTGCTAGCTTCGTTTTGTTTTTTCTTTTTGGGTCCAGTCGTGTGGCCTGAACTCTGGGCCTGGGCGCTGTCCCTCAGCTCTTCAGCTCAAGGCTAGCGCTCTACCACTTGAGCCACAGCACCACTTCCAGCTTTTTTCTTTTTGCTTATGTGGTGCTGAGGAATCGAACCCCGGGCCTCAGGCATGCAAGGCATGCTCTCTACCACTGAGCCACCTTCCCAGCCCCTAGCTTCGTGTTTTATGATCCCAAACATTTGTAAGATTGTTATTAGGCCACTGCATTTTATCTCAGGGATTTGTGTAGAAACATAGTAGGTACTTCCTGGACATGAATTCCCTATACCAGCCCTCTGTGTAGATCCATAATGAGTGGCAGGCTCAGGCAGAGGGCAGAAACCTAGGGGAAGGCAATAGAGAATCAGCTAATTAACACTTTGTTTATTTTTCTTATTGACCATGTCAGTGCAGACCCTGAAGATTGAAAAGACCACAGCTAAAGAGCCAACTGGTTTTGAGCTGTGGATCCAGAAAGGTATGTGCTTGTGTCAGAGCCTTGTTCTGCGCATAGTCAAGCAGTGAGTTGTCCTCTGCCTATGTTACTTATCTAGTTTGTCTTGGCGAATTAAGGGTGAGTAATGATTCTCGTGACACTGTGAAGGCCTTGAAAACCCAAGTTGGCTTACAGATTTCTTCACTCACTGCTGATAGAATAATTAACATGTTACTTCATTTTTCTGAATTTTAAAATCCTTATCAGGAAAATTAAATTGATAACTACATTTAAGGCTTTTGTTTCTTCTTTCCTCCTTCCTGATTAATGGTATTATTTAAATAACATCCACAGAATTAGTAGCTTCTAGTTAAACATAAAAATTTTGTCTTTCTATTTCCTTTCTTTCCCAAATCATGAAGATAGTAGTAAAAGAATAAAAAGAGGCATAAGTCTCATTAATTAATTAAACTAATTAAACAAGAGGAAACTAAAGCAAATGTGAGATTCATATATATTTTGATAGAGGGAAAGAAGCAACTTCTATAGCTAAATGGATTAGGCTGTAACCTAATCGTCAGGGGAAATATCAACAAGGTGTTTTCCAGAAATGTCTAGAATTTGAAGGCAACAGATACAATAGCCAGAAAACATGAATGATTACTTGACCATCTCTATCCTTAGTGGTTGGATTCTAGGTACTTTCTTACATCCTACAAAGCTAAGTGAACTCTCACCTACAGACTTCCTCCACCAACTCACTGACTAGGAACAGTGAGTATTGAGACTCAGGACTCAGGAAATCAGGCATAGTAGAAAGAATGAAGGGACAAAGAACATTAAGCGGAGGCTTCCACGTTGAACAGTGGGAGCTCCAGGCTTCTTCCTGAGCTTTGCAATTAATGACAACCACCAAGAGTATAAGCCAAAGTGGGCGACTAAAGGATTTACCTTTAGAGAAACTGTGGTCCTCTGTGGATACTGATAAAGCTAGTTCATACTTAGTCACTTTTTTGATGTCTACCAGTCAGCAAGCTTGGCTCATAAACACATTTTCAAATAATTTATTATTCATAAAGAATAAGACAACCAGATAGCTGATGAATATAATCAAACCTTGCCTCTAATTTCCAATGTATAGGAAATACAGAGGATAGAGGATCTAATTAAATGAACTATGAAGAGGTAAGATGACAATAGCATGTACTGTTTTACAGGACAACTGACTTAATACATTCAATTTAAAAATAAAATAATATATATGGCTAGGTGTGATGGTACACACCTCCTACCTCAGCTCTGGGAGGAAGATTGGAGAATTGAAATTCAAGCCTAGCCTGAGCCACATAGTAAGTTTCAGATCATTCTATACTATGTCGAAAAACTCAGTCTCAAAGAAGAAAAGGAAGACGACCAGGAGGAGGAGTGATGAGAGTAGGAGTAAGAGAAAGCAGTTCCAAAATTAAAATAGACTACTATTGGGCTGGGAAGATGGCTCGGTGATAGAGTGTTTGCCTCCCATGCATGAGGCCTTGGGTTGGCCTCAGCACCCCATAAACAGAAAAAGCCGAAAGTGACACTGGCTCAAATGGTAGAGCACTAGCCTTGAGCTGAAGAGCTGAGGGACAGCTCTCAGGCCCAGAGTTCAAGCCCCATGGCCAAAAAACAAGCAAACAAACAAATAAATAAAAATAGCTGTTTTTGCATGCTGGTACTGAGACTTGAACTCAATTTATCCCTATTAAATTGTGTTTTAGATTTAGTGCACACAGAGGGACAGCTTCAGAATGAAGAAATTGTGGTAAGTAATTTTCTTTGTAGAGCTGAATATTTTCTTTGGCAAGCACAAGGCATTTAGATTTTAAACTTATCTTCCAGAATAAACAAATAGTATTGTAGGTTCTGTACCTAATCAACCATTAGATAGGTTATTGTCCTTAACGTTATGAGCTAATGTAGAGGGAGTGCCTCCAAGGGTAAAACTGAATTCATTTATTTGTTTTCTATTTTATTTTGCTTATTCACTTGTTTGGAAGTACTTGTTTGTTTTGCTTTGCTTTCTTTTATTCAGTAGGCCTTTCAGGCTAGGAATCAAAAAAAGGTTGAGATGTCAAAACTGGGTGTTAATTTAAGCATGAAAGGACAAGGGAGATTCAGATAAGGGGAACTAGAGCATGGGATCAGCAACAAATAAGCCAAAGAGAGATGGAGTGGAAAGAGAACCAGCGTTTTTCCACTACATTCCATTGGGCTTTGCATGTCAAGTGGAATGAATGGCCTTTGATGAGGAAGCTGCTGCTTCATCAGGAGTTCCTCTGTCCCTAACAGTTTGTCATGCCCTGGTTTTACAGGAACACAGAAAAGGAAACTGATTGAATATGTATTTTTTTTTAAGGTGGCAGCGTTTAACTAAGGTCTCCTTAAATGAGAATCGATGTACCTATCCATTAAGTTTACTTCTCCAAGTCTTTCTAGGGATTGCTATGAAATCAGTGTTTTGAAGGATTCTATACAAGTTTTTGAATTCTGTGAATTCCCTTTCTCCCACTAAATTCACTCAATAACTATGACACCAGTGGTGCTCAGGAAAAATAATTAATTCTGCTGAATTTTACCTTTCTGCTTTTTTCCATCTTAGTGGCTTGTGATTAGTAAATCTTTGGATTTTGTTCCAGGACTCATTGAAAATTGTGGTGAGGTTAATATTTCTATAAGTAGTATGGGAGAATCAGCAGCAGATGGAAACCACAGATAATTTTACCACTTGGTCATAACTCATTTCCTTTTAATTGTTGACCACATACATCACATAGATAGAATGTATAGACAATTTTGTGTTGTCTTTTTATATTTAATACTGTATTATAAACTTCTTAAGTATAGTTAAGGATAACATTTAAAATAATTTCCTTTGCTTTCCTGTCAATGTAAGTAATTAAAGATATTTTTTTCATATTCTTGCTGCCATGATCTTTTTCCTTTTGATTATTTTAAAAGGTTAAATATCATAGAAGGGCTAGGCGACAGTGGCTCATGCCTATAATCCTAGCTACTTGGGAGGCTGAGATCTGAGGATTGCAGTTCGAAGCCAGCCCCTGGCATGAAAGTCTGTGAGACTTCTATCTCCAATTAACCACCAGCAGTGGTGCTGAATTCAAGCCTCAAGACCAAGCAAAAAAAAATATATATATATAGAGAGAGAGAGAGAGAATGGGTTTACAGCAGAACACAAGGATATAAGACTTTATATAGCTTTCTACATATATTGCCAGATTGCTTATCAGAGAAATTATATAAAAGTATACCATGTACAGGGAGTGGATTAAACCACAATTAACTAAGGAAAATCTCTTACTGTGAGAAAAAAATTTAGAATTGCCTGCTTTTTTAAATTACCATATATTAGTTATATTAAATTACCATATATTAGTCCATTATGACATTTCCACACATGCATGCAATGTATATGGAACAACTCACCCCCTCTTTCACTTTCCTATCCTCCTCTCCCTTTTTGAGAAATTCTTTAAGTAGGCTTAAAAAAATAAATTGATCAGAAGCCTCATGCCTCTAATCCTAGCCATTTAGAAGACTGAGGTCTAAGGATCATGGTTCAAAGCCAGTCTAGGCAGAAAAGTCTGTGAGACTCTTATCTCCAATAAAGCTACACCGAAAAATCTGGAAATAGAGCTGCACCTCAAGTGGTAAAGCACTAGCCTTGTGCAAAAGAAGCTCAAGAGCAGTGCCCAGTCCCTGAGTTCAAGCCCCAGAACCCACCAAAAAAAAACAAAAAATAAAAACAAAAAAGATCAGAAATGTACAGTTGTGATTTGTATGCCTGCTGCTCTTTTTCATAAGACCAAGACTGATTATCCTATGGCTGGAGACCAGAGCAACTGTTCTATATGGCGGCTCATCTTCTGATAATATTTTATCTTATACATTGATACATAGTTAGAATAATAGTCTTCATCTAACCTTTCTTCTACTAGCTGCTTGTTAACAGTTAACTATAAACACTGAAAACATCTCTTGATTTCTTTTTTCCCTACAGGCCCGCGATGGCTATGCCACTTACTTGAGATTCATTATTTTATCAGCCTTCGATCATTTTGCATCTGTGCATAGCATTTGTGCAGAGGGAATAGCAGTATCAACGCTTTCTTAGTAACTATAATGAAATGTTCTTACATGATTCTTAACAATATATTTACTTCAACATGAAATTTTCACCAAAATACGTTATTAAAAGGGTTTGTGTCAAACTTTTTTAGCTTTTATTTATATTTACTTCAGCATTTTGGGTAAGACATTTTGATTTCATCAGTCAGCACCATGGAATATGTAAAAACTTTGGCTTCAATATACACAGTAATCAAGGCTGGGACAATACATGAAAATTTTAACTGATAATGCATTATGTCCCCACAGTATCTCAGTGCATTTTGTAATAAAGTAACACAGACTTAGTGACTTAAACAAGAAATGTATCTTTGCATAGTTCTGGAGGCTGGGAATTCAATATGGAAAGTGTTGGTCCAAGAGTTGGTTGCTATTAAGGACTCTGAGGGAAAATCTGTCCCAAGCCTTGTTTCTTAGCTCCCAGCACTTCAGCCACTTCAGGCTGACACTGCCATATCTCCAGTCCAGTCACACGATATCCTCCCCATGTGTCTTTTCATCTGTCTCCCCTGCATGTATCTGTTTTCATATGTCTTATCTTACAACAGGAACAAACACCTATATGTGTTCACAACTGTAGTTTTAGCCTAAGATGCTTTCAGTTACAGAGAATTTATTTATTTATTTATATTTGTTGTTGTGGGGCACAGTTCCTCAGCTCTTCAGCTCAAGGCAAGCACTCTACCACCTTGAGCCACAGCGCCACTTCCGGTTTTCTGCTTGTTAATTGGAGATAAGAGTTTCACAGACTTTCCTGCCTGGGCTGGATTTGAACTGTGATCCTCAAATCTCAGCCTCCTGAGTAGCTAGGATTACAGATGTGAGCCACCAGCGCCCGGCGTTACAGAGGTTTTAAAAGACAGCTTTTTTTCTTTCCTTTCTGTTCCCATACCACCACCACCACCATTCCCCAAGTGAGAGAATTCAAGAATGTTTTTACAGCTCCAATCAAGGTCACCACATTCCTTATCTGGCTCACTACAGGAATGAAAGAACATTTGGGACAGGATGGAATACAGCTCCAGAGACTAATGCCATGGCATCAAGAAGTAAGCTGGGGGGGGGGGGGGGGGGGGGACTGGGAAGGTGGCTCAGTGGTAGAGCGCTTGCCTTGCATGCATGAGGCCCTGGGTTCGATTCCTCAGCACCACATAAGCAAAAAGAAAAAAAAAGCCGGAAGTGGCACTGTGGCTCAAGTGGTAGAGCGCTAGCCTTGAGCTGAAGAGCTGAGGGACAGCGCGCAGGCCCAGAGTTCAGGCCCTAGGACCGGACCAAAAAAAAAAAAATGAAGAAGAAGTAAGTGGGCCCAAGGCCACCATCCAGCCTGGACTCCAGCCTGGGTTCCTGGGCTTTTCTATAAAACCATCCTACTCACCTCCCTCTAGGACAGCGCTTCTTTCTGAGATAACAGCTTAAAGTCTTCATTTAGCCTGACAGAATTAAGAAACCTTTATTACCTTTTCTCCAAGCCCCTGATCTCATTATTTATGAATTGGCATTGAGTTCAGGGGGCCAAATTTCTCATAACACTCTTCTCATAAAGTTATATAATACTAGTCATCTTGATAGAGGGCTTACCTACCCTATGTGACCTTTAATATTTGCAGTGACTCTGTTTCTAAGTTAAGATTGTATTTGTGGTTCCAGGTTTCAGCACCTCAACATACATATACATATATATATTATATATATATACATATTATATATATATATATATTTTTTTTTTTGGTCAGTGGTGAGGCTTGAACCCTGGGCATTGTCCTCAACTCTTCAGCATAAGGCTGAGACAATTCCAGTTTTCTGGTGGTTTATTGGAGCTAAGAGTCACAGACTTTCCTGCCCGGGCTGACTTTGAACTGTGATCCTCAGGTTTCAGCCTCCTGAGTAGCTAGGATTACAGGCGTGAGCCACTGGCGCCCGGCCAACATATGTTTGTAATGGTTTATATTTGTACTTACTGGAACAAAGGTAGTGAAAAATCATTGCACCTAAATGATGACTATATGGGGATTCATTTTGCTAGTCTATTTTTATGTGCTTAAAGTCCTTCATCATTAAAAAAAAATACATATAGTGCCAGATGGTCGGGTGCCAGTGGCTCATGCCTGTAATCCTAGCTACTCAGGAGGCTGAGATCTGAGGATCGTGATTCAAATCCAGCCTGGGCAGGAAAGTCCCCAAAGACTTATCTCCAATTAACCACCCAAAAACCAGAAGTGGAGCTGTTGTTCAAAGTGATAGAGCACTAGCCTTGAGCAAAAGAGCTCAGGACAACACCTAGGTCCTGAGCTAAAGCCCCATGATTGACAAAAAAAAATTGTCACAATGAACATCTTTTTTCATAAATTTTTGCATGCCCTTCAGATAGTTTTCTTAGATGAGATTCCTAGAAGAAAACTAGTCAAAATTAAGAATAAGTTTATGCTAGGTGCTGGTGACTCTAGCCTGTAATCCTAGCTACTCAGGAAGCTGAGATCTGAAGACTCAGTTTGAAGCCAGCCCAGTCAGGAAAGTCCATGAAATGTTTATGTCCAATTAACCACTAAAAGTTGGAAGTAGAACAGTGATTCAAATGGTAGAGCACTATCCTTGAGCAAAAAGAAGGTCAGGGACTGAGCCCAAGCCCCTGAATTCCACCACAGAACTAGCATGTGCACACACATACACAAATGGTTTATGCACTGGTGGCTCACACATGTAATTCTGTCTACTCATGAGATTACAATCCAAGGATCAAGGTTTGAAAACAGCCCGGGCAGGAAAGTACTTGAAACTCTTAGCTCCAATTAATTGGCAAAAAGCTACAAGTGGAGCTGTAGCTCAACTTAGTGCTCAACTTTGAGCACTAAGGGACAATGTCCAGACCATGAGTTCAAGCCTCAATACTGGCATGCACACACACAGAAGAATAAGTTTGTAATGCTAGCAATCAAAGCTAGTGCTTCATTTACACTAGGCAATAGCTTTTTCCACTGCATTTTAAAACATAGGAATAGTTTTGGTTTGTTTATTTTTTGGCCATATGGGCTTAAACTCAGGGCCAGGGATCTATCTGTCCCTGGCTTTTTTTGCTGAAGGCCAGTGCTTTACCACTTGCATCACTGCTTCACTTCCAGTTTTCTGGTGCTTAATTAGAGATAAGAGTCTCACGGACTTTCCTGCCCAGGCTGACTTTGAATTGTGATCCTCAGATCTCAACCTCCTGAGTAGCTAGAATTACATGCATGAGCCTCCAGCACAGGGCTCTAGGAATAGGTCTAAAGTTCTTGTGGGAGCTTCTGACAAAGTGTTTCTCAAACTTTGCCACATAGATTTACTCATGGAAATGAAGATTTCAGAAAAGTAGAGGGGAGTAGGAAAGGTATTCCAAGAGCAACATTGGTATAATCAAAGATGTGAAGGTGCCTACTCATTCACAAATGACATTTGGGGAAGGATGAATAGAAGAGACTGGCTGAGTACGGAGGAAGAGTAAAACTGAACAGTACCGCTAGATCACAGGAAATCTAATGTTTTACATATTTTCCCAGAATATTGCACCATTAAGGCTTTTGAGAATGTAACCCAGGGCGATTGTGTTTATGTTCAATAACATGCACTTCTGAGGAGTTTCTCTTTGGCCAATTTCCTAAGCTGTCAATAATTCTTAGTGTAGGAAATACTGTGGCTTACAAATTGTGGGGAGGGATCTTCGGAGGTTATCTGATTGATCTCTTAGGCACAGGTTTGGTGAATTCTCTCTAAGTCTGTTTTCTCTATCTTCTGTGAATTTAAAGAACAAGTGATCGGTGCAGTGCTTGTAATACAAATTCATCTGTGAGCCGGGCGCTGGTGGCTCACGCCTGTAATCCTAGCTACTCAGGAGGCTGAGATCTGAGGATCGCGGTTCAAAGCCAGCCCGGGCAGGAGAGACTGTG